TGTGTGTGTGTGTGTGTGTGTGTGTGTGTGTGTGTGTGTGTTGGGGGGTTGGGGGTGACATACAGTCAGTCTCCCAGGGAGTTGAGTTTGAGAAGTCATCTGAAATGACGTGGGAAAAACGTTCCTACCTAATAGGCTGGAGGACTTGGGCCAACCCTTACTCAAGATAGTTATGTAGGGGATGGCCCATTACCAAGGCCTCAAAAATAATATTTCAGAAAGTTATTACTCAAAGTGCAGTCCAAGACTACCTGGGAGCTTGTCAGAAATGCAGAATCTTAGGCCCCACCCCAGACCGACTCAATTAGAACCTGCAATTTAATAAGATTCCTAGGTGACTTGTAAGCACATTAAAGTTTGGGAAGCAGTGGTTTCAAAGACAGGATACTAAGCAGGCAAGATAAATCCCTTCTCATGGGTCTCCTGTAACTTCCACTCCTAGGCTGCTCTAGTTATAGCCGAGCAAATCTTCCTTGAGTGTAGAGATGCTTTTCCTAACTCCATGCCCTTGATTTTTGCCCGAGTTGTTTCTTCTGCCAGGAATCTCCTTGTTGCCCACTTAAAACACTCTTCAAATTCTGCTTCCAGAGGCCTACTAAGATCCCAGGGCCAAGCAATCTCGTCTGATGCTGACAGCTCAAGCCTTTGCCTGCGCTTATCTCGTGGCGTTTATAAAGCCCTTTCTGCCTGATATCACACAGATTCTGCACCTACTCTGGCCCCTCCTCCTGGCGAGCTCCTTGCTGACAGCGGCTTCTGTCTATGTATCTGTGCCATTTCTACCTATGCAATTTCTCTCTTTGTCTCTCTCTCCTTTAGCACTTAGCACAGTAATTGGTACACAGAAAGCTCTTTGCAGATGTGGTTGAACTGAATGGAAATACATTTCCTAAAAGCTCACAAAGGCAGACCTTTTCAAAATGACCAAGAACAAGGCCCCCAAAAATTGTAAGCAGAAGGAGGCTGCATCTCCCTATCGATCCTCTCCTTAGCCTTGCAATGCCCACCCTGGGTTGGACTTTTAGCTGCTTTGAGTTCTAGTGCTTTCCACGCCCAGAAACAGAGTTCTGTAAAATTTTCTCATAGTTTCCTTTGGGAAATGAGGAAAAGATCAAAAAGCTTGTTCCCCTACATACCTGCCAGTCATGCAGACAACATTATTTTTAAAAAATAATTTGTGTTTTAACATGCCGTTGAATTATTTGGGGGGATTGGGGGTTTGAGATTATGTTTCCCTTTTAGTTGCTCAAGTCTGCTTTTCTGGAGTGTTCAGACCCACACACTTATGTCACCAGTCTCAAGTCTCTAATTATGCTCCCCACTCTTAGAAATGAAAGATAAATGGCTTAAATACAAACTTACATTTGTCAGAATTGATGTCCTGTTTTAATTGAGGGGTGTAATATATCAGTCTTTTCTAGCAACAGAAACGTATGCTCTGATTATATCTATCAGTCTTTCTTGGGTTAGGGTAAGTAAGAAAGGAGAGAAGCAGTGACAGAAACACACTCCCCATTGGTATTTTTTCACTTCCCTTAAATAGACGCAGGTTTTTTTTCATGTGTAATTACAAGCTAAAAATATCAATAACGTGAAGTACAATTTATGCTGTGACTGCCCTTTCAAAGTGAGCCCTTCCTTGTCTAATTCAGGTTGAGAATTTCTGCCTCTGGGGTTTTTTAATTCATTCAGCCTCACGTCTTTTGGTGAGGTTTTCACTTTCTTTGCTACTAGGCAAGTGGTCAGGAAATTCATTTTTAAAATATGAGTCTCAGGTCCCCAAACTGCTTGTGGCAAGTACCTCCCGGTTGTTGACAATCAACAGAGCGGTGAAAATTAACCCACAAAACTGCACATCTGGAGGCCGTAGAACGGATACCCAAATTGGTGAGCCATGCGAACTTCATCCCTTTGAGAGCCTCAGACTGTCCTCAAAGCCACTGCCCAGCAGAAACAAGCCAGAAAACGTTCGTGTCTACCATTTACAAATCACATCTATGGCTTTCATACCATTCTTAAAAATATGTAACAAATGTGATCTACCAATTTACCAACTAACAAACTGGCTAAATAAAAATAAACAAAACACAAAACTATAGCATTTTCATGAAAACCCCTGCTATAATAGAGGAAAGAGCGACCTACAAATGAGAGAATTGAGGGAGCAGGGACATGGTTTTCCAGGGCCATGAGTAAGTGGTCTTGACGTTGAGGCTCTACTTTCTAAACCTCCTCAAAAGACTGCACATTACTGATTAGTTAATTTTATTAGCAAATATCCTGAGGAAGAGAAGCCCTGGGATGGGAGGGTGTGAATATGTCAATAATGGCATGAAACTGCCTCCAAATATGTGAGATGCTTGCATCAATAAGAGGGACTGAATTGTTCTCTGTGTCCGTCCTCCCATAAACTCTTATCTGTAGAGTGACAGGGATGTAGAGGTCAGCTCTAGAGAGAATTCTGGGCTGTCAAAGCCAGAGAGTTTTAAGACAGGCTCTGGTCTAATGACTAAACCTAAGAGCTCAGAGAAATTGAGCCATTTGTCCAATGTCACACATCTTGTTCAGGTTTAGGCCAGGGAGGGCTACCCCGGGATCCTGGCTCTTTCCAATACACATACTCTGCAGCTGAGTCAACTTTCTCACTATTAAAGCCCCACAAAGATGCGACGGACAAGCCCCAGGGAAGCCTTGAAGCAGATGCCAGGCTGGAGGACCATGTGGATTACCAGATATCAATTCCTGCACTGGGTGAGGGACAAATAAGCTTTTTTTAAGGTCCCACCAAATCTTGAGATTCTATAGCTCTGAGAGAGAAGAATGTGTGGCCCAGAGGCCAGGCAATAAGCACAGACTCCAAGAGGACTGGCAGACTGGAGGAGGGAGAGTAGATTGCCTACTTGTGGAAGTCCTCAATGCAGTGGATGAGGCCGCCAGCATCCACGGTGAACGGGATCCCATCCAGGCTGCGGTGGCACATCACACAGGTAAAGCAGTGAGGATGATAGGCCTTCCCGGTGGCTCGGAGAATCCGCTCCATGATAGGCTTGGAGCATACGCTGCACTGCTCCAGGGTATTCTGTGAAGGGAAGGAAGAGGGCCAGTGTTAGGCTGGGACTTGAGGAGATCCATTTATGCATGACTTACAGCATGACAAGCACTTTTACAGAACACGTTGGCTCATGTGCTTCTTACAGTGCCTGAAGGAAGGCAGAGTGTATATCTTTATTATAATGAGAAAGAAATACAATTAGATGATCAAGTGGCTTTTTTAAGGTCACCCAGGTAATAGGTAACAAATCTAGAATTTAGAACACACAAATTATGGCTTCTACCTTTATTCCTTTCCACTATAGCAGGGATGATGGCAAACCTTTCTGTAAAGGCCCATATAGTAAATAGTTCTGGCTTTCTTGCAACAGCTCAATTTTGCCATTGTAGTATGTAGGGAGCTGTAGACAGTAAGTAAGCAAATAAGCATGCTTGCGTTCTAATAAAATTTTATTTGCAAAAGCAGGTAGTGGGCTGGATTTGGTCCATGGCTGTAGTTTGTTGAGGACAGAACTACACAACCCAGGATCTTCACTTGACGAACACTTCACTATTACTTCTAAAACTTGCTTCAACATCAAAGACCTAGTGGGATCACCAAAGACCCTAACATTTTAGAGCGTGGTCTGTCTGACAACTGACACTCGCAAAGCATGCTAGCTACAGAACCCAATCAGAGCCCGGCATAGTCAATGAGGTTTTTGATCATTTAAGGTCTTGATTCAAATGACATCTCCAAGTTGAGCATTGTGAACTCTTGATGGAAATGTTGAACCTAGAGGGGTTCTGGTTTTAAGAAGTGAATTAAGAAAGTTAATTTATCTGACTTTAAAAATATGCTGAGCTTTAAAAATACATAGCCCCCTGAAAAAGGATATCATTTATTGAGTCAGGACTCAGAAAGATTGACAAAATTAGCTGTTAACTTTCCACCCTTCCCTGGAATCCCATGCTGTCTTACCAAACAACCGTGTTTCACACGTAATATGCTATATTCCACCTGAGATGTCTGGGCTGACTCACTGAGTTTACAACCTAGAATAAATCTGGGATGCGGATCTGGTTAGAAGGATGCAAACTGGAAGGGAAGTGGAAATTAAGGAGTAACTGCCCCCTTACTATGAGAACCTTTAAATGGCCACAAGGCAAGAAATGCCTATGGATAGTTACCTAGAGTGCTGACGTCTCAACTACAGCAATGGTCTCTGATGGGCTTCCTTATTTGCATCTCTCTTCTTCTGTCATACTTCCCCATCCCCAAGTGACTTCCAGTTTCCTTTCCAAAACACAGATGTGACCAAGTAACTTTCCTGCTAGCAAAAACTTATAGGGCTGCATGATGTAAAAAGAGCTAGTTCCTTATCTGACTTTCAATCTCCCTTTCTAGGCTCAGATTCCCCTAATGGCTCAGACTGCTCACTCTTGTTCAAACCTATGAGAAACTTCCATACTTCTGAGCATTGGCTAGTGCCCGGAATGATTCGCAATTTGCCATTCTGACCTTTCAAGGTAGAGGTCAGAAGGCTACTCCACAGTGAAGCCTTTCTCAATGCCCTCAGTTGGAATAAACCGCTTCTTTCTCTCCCCTTCCCAAGCTATTTACGTTGCTTACAGCATGTATTTGTGCATATGTCTATTTCCTCTACTAGACTGCAGTTTCTTTAAGGGCGGGGACTATGTCTTAAGACTGTATTTCTCTGTCCCATACTGCACCCAGTATACTACCTGGAATTAAAATAAGCCCGGGATGAATGCATGCAAAAAGAATGAATGAAGGAATATTGTTTACATCCCACTCTGGCAGCACAGTGCTGGCCCAACTCCCCTGACTCTGGAATCTATCCCAAGATGAATTGGTAAATCCATCATCATGCTCTCCTCAAAGCTGCGGTTGCTGGAGGTTCTGAAATTGCTTAGTACGCCTCTGGTCACAGTCTAAACTCATGGAAACTATTAACCTATTTTTTTCCCCCATTTTGAAGTGGTGAAATTAAAATAGCAGAAGAACATAAGATGAGGGTCTGGTGATGACGATGGTCTGGACAATGAGGGCCCTGCTTCTTTTCTACCCCGGTGATCTGAGCTAATGTGGCTGGAAACTGTCTTCTCAGGGCTTGTGTTTTGCTCCTCTGTGGGTTTTACTTTTTTTGTTTTTTTTTTAAGCCAGCCCTGTAATGGAGTTGAACAAACCAGAAAATGCTTGACCAGAAAATGTTTTTGTTTGCATTGAGGCTTGGCTGCAAGATTCAGCCCATTTACTCAAAGTAGCAGCAACATAAAAGGTTGAGTCAGTTTCTAAGGAAAGACTTTATGGTCTATAGAAGCACTGTTCAAGGACAGGTAATCTGAACATTTCTACTTCAAAGGAAAAACAGTATAAAATATGCCTAAAGTGAGTCTATTGTAAAATGCCCCCAAATCAGAAAATAAAGATTCCAAGAATGTAGCTGACTGGAAGCTTGGTCTAGCAAATGGTGGAGGAGGATATATTAACTTTCTCTAGCCAGTTGCCTTTACTATACTCTTTTCTTTTCAGTCTCCACCTGGTCCACTAGGACCCTTAGATATATCTTCTCTTAGAGAAAGGATAAAGACTCTTACAATGTCAGGGAGGAGGGCACTGGGAGTTCCTTTAGTCCAGGCCTCTGATTTCACAAGTGAGAAAACAGACCTGGAGCACTGATACAGTTGGACTTGAGTCATGGAGTTCATTAGGTGGGACTGGTACCCCAGTTTCCTGACTCTCAATAACTCAGAGAGGAATCTGTTGAATTCATTATGTAACTATAGAGAGGGAAATTTGGTAGGTGAAGAATATGAATTGTCCCTCTGGCTTTGTCAACATCCACTGCATGATTTTGGGCAAATAATGTATTCTCTCTAGACCTCAGTTTTCTCATCTGTAAAATAATGATAATTCCAACTCTGCAATTTTATTACTCTGATATATCAGTGTGAACAAAAGTAGGAAAAGGCCAATGTTTCCATTACTAAAGATATATTAGAAACAACTGGATAACCTCTCATCTGAGGTTTGAAAGTAGGGTTCATGAGCTAGAAACCTGGCCTATATAACCTTTGCAATGTCTTCTCACTTGCAATTCCAGAAATTGCTAGCAGTAGAATTGCAAGGACCGTAGACGATCTCTGTGTCTTCTTATAGAAGGTTATTTTAAAGCCAGATGAAAAGATGTACTCTTCAGATAAACATGAAGCTTCTCTAAAGTAGGTTAAAATGAAATGTTTAATAAAGAAAATAAATAAGAAGTTTTCAAGCAAATAAGTGGAAGAAGGACATTTCTAAGTATATCTACTCAAATCACATCTTGTATGTGGAGTAGGGGTGCTATGTTTGATAGATGGGGAGGTAGGAGGGAAGAGCACACTCCAGCACAAGAACCTACCAAATCAGTAGAGTGCTTCATGACCTGGTTCTGGGTCCATCTCTACTGTTCTTCCCCGTGGACCCACCCTCCAGCTGCCACACTGAGCTCCGCCACATCTTTGATAAGCTATGTTCTTTTACAAGGCCAGACTACCCCATCCATTTTTGCCTAGAGAATATCTACTCATTCTTCAAGGTTAAGCTCAAATGTTACCTCTTCTGCAAAACCTTTCCTAATGCTTCCTCTGCTATACTCCAAGCGAAATAAGTAATTTCTTCCACTCTCATAGGATTGTATGCTGCTTCTCCTATGACACCAAATATGAGGTATTTGAGTTAATGGTTATGTCAATCTCCATGACCAAACTGTGACTATCCCTTTCTCTCCCCATGGAGCCATGGTCATAGGTTGAGTTTCCCAGGAAACAGATTCTGAAACAGAGATTTGCATGCAGGAAGTTATTGAAGAGTATCTTTGAGGTCCACACCTGTAGGAGAGTGCAGGAAAGTTCCTGGGCAGAGGGAGGAGTTGAACTATGATGCATTTACAACAAAGGCTTCTAATGGTTCCATGGAGAAGTCTGGAATGGGGATGGCCCTGCAGAGTTGTCCTTCCTTGGAGCTTGGGATAGGGCCTTTGTACCCCTGCATCTACCAGTTGATAGATACAGGTTCCTCCCAAGAAGGAGGAGTGATCTTGGGTGAAGAGGTTCCCTTCAGTTCAGGGTAATGACCAGAGACAGACTCAGCTATGAACTCCCAGCAGTTGGGGGAATGAGAGCCTGAGTCCTGAAAGGGGACCTGGGCTGTGCACCACAGCATCCACAACAGTAACCCTCCTTGCCCAGGGCCTGCACAGTCCATGAAACACAGCAGGCAACTGTTAACCAGCTGTGAAACCCCTTATAGTTTAAATTGAATGAATAGTCTAGATTTTATTCTTTTCTTAAAATTATAGGCAGTTTGAAGATTTTTTAGAAAATGTTTTAGGCAGTTACTCCAATGAAAGTATGGTTAAAGGAAGATGTCAAAGTACCAGAAAAAACAAGAAATTAGTCAGCTGCTAAAAGGCATAGCTTATAAACTTTTCTGAAATGATGGCAATACAATTGTGATTAAAAACAAAAAGTTAAGTGAAAATAAAAATAAAATCACAAACAAATCTTGTACACAAAACTCCCAAATGCAACTGTTTTTGAATTAGAGATACAATCTGGTTGTATCTTTTCTATCCTTGGATAATGTATAAATAACTTCTCTAATTCACAGGCAGAAGAGGTGGAAGAATCATCTGAATATAAATGAAGCATATAGGTAACATAAGCATTAACTACTAGTTAGACGATAAAGAAAAAGTATTTCTAAAATTTATATATTGCATAGGTGTATATACGTTCAAAATTGAGTATTTTAAATCAAGAGACATAAGTATTTGAAGATTCAGAAGACTATAAAAGGTTGCCATTTAGAAATGTTAAAATTTTCATTTCATAAAATTAAAATGTGTCTTATATTCAGTCTTTATTGTTTTTTTTCTTTTCTTAGGTGTGGAAGCAATATGGAAACAGGAAAGACTCTTGGAAAGGTAATGGTGACATCTCATGTTCTAGATATAGTTTTGGTCTTGTTGGGATAAGAATAAA